TATGAAGAAATAAAGTTATTTAATATAGTAAAAAAGATTTTCGGGACCAGTTAAAATCTTTCTTATATCGAGATTGTCTTATATCGAAGGCTTTTTGTTATAAATTTTCAATTGGGACTTGTAAATCTTTCTTATATCAAGAGTTTCGTATACCGAAGGTTTTACAGTATATACATAAATGCATTTTTATTAAAAATTTGTATATACAGTATCACATAATTAAAAGTAATCAAAATTTATGCAACACGCCTGGTGCGCACTAAACAATAAATATATCGAACAACATAAACATGTACTAACTGCCCCTAAAAAGTCGTCTGTGACTAAGATAGCTATCACCTGAACTTTGAAGGTCCTAACGTCAAGCTAAGTCGATTTAGTATAAATTTATTGATTAACCTAATTAATCTAATTAGATTTAATAAGAGATAGATATGTACAGTATAAATGAGCGCACGTTTATTAGCGAAGAGAAAAGGTTATTAATATATACGTACGTACGTACGTATGTACATAAATCACAAATCAATGTAGAAATCACGTCTCCGAGTTACATCTGAAACGAGGAGACTCTTATGGACAAAAAAAAAATATGTCATCTTAAAAGTACGTACGTACGTACGTACAGTACATACGTACATACCAATCGAGCAGTGAGTGAATGGTAAATATTGACACAATACCTACATTGTAAAGTACATCAACAAACCTGCCTTTATTTGTGCCAGTGTACAGTACGTATGTAATATTTGAGTATTGGGAGTATTTGATACCCAGGATTAAAATACCAAAACTAGGACTTTTCTGCATGAAATCTGGGCAGCTAGGGCTAAGATCAGTATCCTTTTATATCAATATTATTATTACAAAGATGTAAATCTATCGATACAAAATAAAATTACCAATAATTACCAATGGAACATACCGCAAGAGAATTAACGGGTTTTAATTAACAAAAACTAAACACAAGTCCTGCATCGAAAGTTACGCCGTTATAGATTTTGGGATCCTTTCGCATGATACGGTATAAGGAAAGATTTAGGTTATCACCGGTAAGAATTCACCACCGGATCGGGTAATAGTAGTTTATGCGTTAAAGTTTGTTCGTATCATCTGTGCGGTACAATATATATGTGAAATTGAGATTGACAAGAGAATTAGGTATGTACGTACGTACGTACGTACGTAAAGGATGTAAAGGATGCACTCTTTATCATCTGTCACGCGGTATAATTACAAAGTAAAATCTATTGATAAGGCTCACCCTGCTTATTAGATAGAATTTATGCAGAGTAATATTAGAGTAATATCGATAAAATCTCTTTTATCTTAAAATCAACTTTTTAAGGGTGTTTATCGTACAATGTTTAATTTTCAATTTTAATTTCTTATTTTGTTTATAGTCCAGTAGTCCTATTGTATATTTATTATATTTATTATGACGTGCTGATCATTATTCATTATATTTTAACAATAGCCACTTATTTTTTTTTGTTTGTTCTTGCTTGTGCTTCGTTTGGGAAGCAACAACTAAAAGGAAGAACGGAATTTCTACACAACATTTGCCTTGAACTTATTCCATATTATCTGATATCCTTCATTGCCACGAATTTTAGCAGTTCCAATTAATCCTTTATCCTTTGTAAGTATTAGTATTCATTCAACAAGTAAAAGATGTGTCGCGTTGTTCATCTGCAAACGTTATTGCTTTGATAACTGCGGTACTGGCTTGTGCATAAAAAGTACTGCATGTAGTATATACTGCTCTTACCTTATTGGTTCTTTAAAGTTGCTGTATTTCATTCCAAGGAAACGCGTTCTCTGTATTTTTGTACTTATCTTCGACTTTTCAATTTTATTTCTTATTCTCCTTTAGACAATAAACTGTAAGTAATGGCCGCCACTGTTCAATCTATGCCGAATCATTCGGAAGAAACCGAGGTTGTTGAATACACCGAGGAGGTTGTTGAGGTTGTGCGATTGGACAAGGTGGTTGAAGTGGAGGAGGTTAATGAAAAGGAAAAAAAGTCCTCGGACCATAATGAACTTGTTGATACTGAAAAGACCGCGGAAAAATCTGAGGATGTTAACGAACACGCGGAAAAGCACACTGAACATACCTTACTGGCTGAAAATCAGCTCGTTGATGATGATTCAAAATCCGGGGATTCGAATAAGGCGGATACGAAAAGTTCGGACCATACAGCTGATCCACCATTGACCCCTCCAAAAAGTCCTGTAGATGAAAAAGATAAATCGGATAAAAAGAATGCAAGCTCTAAAATAGCTACGTCTACTAACAAAACGGTCAAACCTGCTGCATCGGCCGCTAAACCTGGTGTCGTTAAGAAAACGTCTACTCCAACTTCGACTAGTGCCAAACCTCGTGCACGCAGTCCGTCGGTCAGTAAATCAAACTCACCTACAGCATCGAAAACTCCGGGAACACGTTCTTCTAGTACCTCCAGCGCTACGAGGGCTCCGATTACAGTTCCAAAACAACCAAGTAGTCCTACTGTTGGGAAAACTCCAAGTACCTCATCTAAGTCCGGCGCTAACGTGACCCCTGCAAAGGCTGTCACTCAAAAAACGACTGTTGCTAAAACTTCTACTGCCGCTACCACTGCAAAAACAACTGTTACATCTCCGAAAACGAATTTGGCGGCTCCTGCTCGGAAAGCTACCACAAATATTAGTAGCTCCGCTACTACTACCGCACCAAAAAAATCAGGTACTACACCTCCTGCTAAGGTAACTAATACTTCAACACCCGCTTCAAAGAATAAAATTGCACCATCTACGGCGATCCCAACCAAGCCTACGGCATCTAAGAGTACTGGCTCAGCCGAAAACGATTTAAAAAATGGTATTTCAGCAGATGATGGCTACAAAGAAAAGGTTGGTTTGATGACCAATATATCTACGACCTTCGTTCATGCTTTATACTAATTAATCATTTTTATTAGAACGAAGAGCTCACAAGATTAATTGAAGAAAAAGATAAGATGCTGAAATCCTGCCAAGATGAATTGGAAGAACTTAAAGTTCAACTAGCGAAAAGAAGTGAGATTGATGAATCTATTGAGAAACATGCTCACACTTTGGAAGAATTGAAAAAAGCTCATGAAGAAGAAACTCAAAAGATTCAAAAGGAAAAGGATGTGGCCATCTTATCAAAAGAAGCTGAGATAGAGGCTCTCAAAAAAGAAATTAAAGATTTAAAAGAGGTATGCTGTTATTTAATTTCGATACTTCTGTTTATATGACGTTTGATTTAAATGATTGCACACTTGTTAGGCTCTTGCAAAGGCCAAAGAAGAAAATGATGAAAAATTTTCAAACATTCGTGAAGAGCATGCTAAATTAATTGATCAGGTTAAAGATACGCATAAAAATGAAATTGCTGAATTGGTTGAGAAAGTTAAAAGTGGTGAAAAGGCTACTGAAGAACTTGTGGTTAGTATAAAGTGTTTAGCTACCTATATATTTGTAATATACATTATTCTCATGGTTTTTTTTTTTTTTAAGACTGTCAAAAGTCAGCTCGAAGAATTGGGACAAGCAAAAGAACAAGAGTTGGAACAGGCAAAAGAACAAATTAGAAAGGAAGCCATTGTAAGTTTTTAATGACAGATATTAACACTTCTTTATTAAGGTTACAGGTCAAATCTTGACAAACAGAATCCTGAAAGGTTATAATCCTGACATTCAAAATCCTTAAAACATAATATGGATTTGCATTAAGAATTTGAATGTCAGGATTATAACCGTCAGGGTTTATCAAGGTTATGTGACCTGCAACCCTTTATTTAAATCTATCCGATAACTAATCAGTTTTGGGTTTTCTTATTGTAAGTCAACTCAAGGAGAGACTGCTGTTGCTTTTGAAAAAATGAAAGTGCAATATGCCGATGATATTGCTGAACTCAAGGACTCTCATGCTAAGGAATTGGAACGCATGAAATCCGAACACGATAAAGAGATTGAGAAAGCAAGGAATGAAATTCAGGTATATAAGCATATTATGTTGAACTTATCTTCTGTGTTAAATTATTAAAAAAATTTTATCATCAGGAAACACTCATGATCCAGCAGAATGAAGAAATTGAAAAACTTGAACAAACACATAGTACTGAATTAAATTCTATCAGATTTAATCTTGAAACCAAAAATGACGCAGCCGTCCAAGAGCTATCAGCCCTTAGATCTCAGCATTCTCAAGATATTGAGGATCTTAAATTAAAGCATTCTAGAGAAATTGAAGAACTTAAATCCCATCATGCCCAAGAAATTGAAACTTTAAAGACATCAGCTGATGAAGGTCTTGTACAAAAGTATGAGACCCAATTATCAAACTTGCAGAGTTTAGCAAAAAAGAGGGATACCGAATTAGAAGATCTCAAAGCGAATCATGATTCTATGCTAGAGAAATTGAAAACCGATTATGAAGCTCGGTTCGAAACATTAAGGGTTGAAATTGAAGGAACAAACAATTCCCCTGACACAGGAATTGAGGAATTAAAAGCTATTCATGCTAAAGAACTTGATGATCTGAAATCTACCCATGCAAAGGAAATTGAAGAATTGAAAACTCAACATGAAGGAAAATTGAAAAAATTAGAATATGAACTCAGTGAGTCTCATAGCAAAGAGTTACAAGAAACACTCACGAATCTTGATAAAGAAATGCAAGAAAAAATCACGAATCTTGAAGAAGAAATGAAAAAAAAGGAGGAAAGTTTAACGTTGGAAAATGAAACTCTTAAAAAAGAAAATAAGGAATTGTCAGAGAAGTTTGAAGTTTCAAAACAAAATGTTGACTCTCATGCTTCAACATTAGAAGTTAGTTATCGTAATAGTTTTTTTATTATTACTATACCAACAATGTTAATTTGCTTGTATTTATATGTTAATAAACGCTAATTATATTTTAAACAAATGATTATGTTGTGTTTCTAGGAGTTGAAAAAAGAGCATCAAAAGGAAATAGAATTACGTACCGCATTACAAACTCTTCTAGATGAGAAAAATAAAGAGAGCGAAGAATCCCTTGAATCACTACGCTGCGAGTACAGCCAAAAGATTGATGAACTCGAATTAGAACATGCTCGCGAACTGAAAGAAAAGATGGATGAACTCGAATTGGCACATGCTCGTAAAATTGAGGAAAAAGATGTAGAAATAAAGAACAAGGCCATGGAAAATAAATGGCTTGAAGACGAAAATGATCAGCATGATGTATGTACAATTTATGAAACTTTAGATACTCAACAAACGTGAAGCTTTAATAAATGCCATTTTTCTTTACTATTTTGTAGGCAAAGGCTAAAACGCTGAATAAGGAGTTGGAAATTCTTCGTAAAGAAAATGAACAATTGAAAGGTGAAAATGATCAGATGCTCGAGTTGATTCATAAATATCAAGAAGAGCTAGCTCCTAAATTTTAAAATATGAAATATGTTTACTCATCAGATACTGTTACATACCATTCAAACCTAATCTCTTAATCCATCTTAGATTTTTATATCCCATTTTATTTTCTTTGATACCTGTAGTATATTTACATTACTCATACCTTTCGATTACATTACTTTAAACTGTTATATTTTTTTTACTCCCTATTTCATCGTCTTCTTAATTGAAGTAAGTTTGTTTTTAATTTATATAATATTTATTTATTCACTAATTTTTTTTATTTAGTAAGAATAATTATTAGTGTTGACTTATTTGTAAAAGAAAAAAAAGGTGGAATTAAGTTTTTTTGATTATAATCGAATTATGAATTTATTTATATAATCAAATTCAAATAAATTTAAGAATTTACACGTGAAAACGTGAAATGAGAGATGGCATTTTTTTTATTCGGGTAAATTTTAATTTTTGATAATAATGGTTTTAGTTTTATTTAATAGATGACTAATTCATATCTCTTATAAAACATTATAAAAGTCGAGATCATCTT